ATTAGTTTTATTTTATCATAGTCTGAATTTTATATCAAACTTAATGTGCTATGTCCATGTGCTATCAGGTAGAAGCACAGGTTCAAAGTATGAAGAAAGGAAAACAAACTGAAAGGAAATACATGCCCCAAGTTCAGTATTTGTTCCAGTGAACACAGCTATGATATTCAAATAAAATGCAAATGATCAAATGTACCCGTGAGCCTACCTCTATATGTAGCACCATGCTGAGCACTAGAGGTTCAGCATGGGCAGGGCCATAGAGTTCACAGCCTCCCTTAGGCAATGTAGTCAGGGAGCACCTGGAAGCTTCCCAGATTTAGGAGATCAGTGAAGGACTTCTGTTGGGATAGATTTTGACAGGCAGAGTGGACAGTGAGAGAGAGAGAGACAGAGAGAAAGGTCTTCCTTTTTGCCATTGGTTCACCCTCCAATGGCCGCCGCGGCCGGCGCAACGCGCTGATCCGAAGCCAGGAGCCAGGTGCTTCTCCTGGTCTTCCATGGGGTGCAGGGCCCAAGCACTTGGGCCATCCTCCACTGCACTCCTGGGCCATAGCAGAGAGCTGGAAGAGGGTCAACCGGGACAGAATCCGGTGCCCTGACCGGGACTAGAACCCGGTGTGCCGGCGCCACAAGGCAGAGGATTAGCCTAGTGAGCTGCGGCGCTGGCCAGGATAGATTTTTGAGCAGAGACAATACAACATATCAAAACTTAAGAAATACAGCAAAAGCAGTGTTAAAAGGAAAGTTTACAGCAATTGGTGCCTACATCAAGAAATTGGAAAGGCACCAAGTAAATGACCTATCAGTGCATCTAAAGCATCTAGAAAAACAAGAGCAAATCAAACCCAAAACTACTAGTAGAAAAGAAATAAAATTAGAGAAGAAATCAACAAAATTGAATCAAAAAATACAAAATATCAGAAAAACAAAGAGCTAGTTTTTTGAAAAAATAAATAAAATCAATACACCATTGGCCCAACTAATCAAAAAAAGGAGAAAGAAGACCCAAATCAATAAAATTAGAAATGAAAAAGGAAATGTAACAATAGACGCCACAGAAATAAAAAAGAATCATCAGGAATTACTACAAAGAGCTGTATGCCCACAAACTGGGAAACCTAAAAGAAATGGATACTTTCCTGGACACATACAACCTACCTAAATTGAGCCATGAAGATACAGAAAACCTAAACACACCCATAACCAAGATGGAAATTCAATTAGTAATAAAGACCCTCCCAACAAAGAAAAGTCTAGGACTACATTACGTCACTGCTGACTTCTATCAGACATTTAAGGAACTAACTCCAATTCTTCTCAAGTTACTCAAAAATAATTGAAAGGGAGGGAATTCTCCCAAATTCTTTCTATAAATCCAGCATTACCTTAATTCCTAAACCTGAAAAAGATGCAACAGAGAAAGAGAATTACAGACCAATTTCTCTGATGAACAAATACACAAAAACCCTAAACAAAATTCTGGCTAATCGAATCCAACAACACATTAGAAAGATCATTCACCCAAACCAAATGGGATTTATCCCTGGTATGCAGGGATGATTCAACATTTCCAAATCAGTCAATGAGATACATCACAGTAACAATCTGCAGAACAAAACCAATTGTTTACACCAATAGATGCAGAGAAACATTTGATAAAATACAATACTCTTTCATAATGAAAACTAAGTAAATTGGGTATAAAAGGAACATTCCTCAACATAATCAAGGCCGTTTATAACAAATCCACAGTCAGCATCATATTGAATGGGGAAAAGTTGGAAGCATTCCCAATGAGATCCAGTACCAGACAAAGATGCCCACTTTCACCATTGCTATTCAATATAGTACTGGAAGTTTTAGCCAGAGCCATTAGGCAAGAAAAAGAAATCAAAGGGATACAAACTGGGAAGGAGGAAGTAAAACTATCCGTATTCGCAAATAACATGATTCTATATATAGGGGATAAAAAAGACTCCACCAAAAGACTATTGGAACTCATAGAAAAGCTTGGTAAAGTGGCAGGATATAAAATCAAGACACACAAAAAAACATACTTTGTATACACAGACAATGTCAAGGCTGAAACTGGACTTCTAAGATCAATCCTACTCAGAATAGCTACAAAAAAATTAAATTCCTTGGAATAAATTTAACCAAGGATGTCAAAGATCTCTACGATGAGAATTATAAAACATTAAATAAAGAAATAGAAGAATATACAAAAAATGGAAAAATCTTCCATGTTCATGGATTGGAAGGATCAGTATCATCAAAATGTCCATTCTTCCAAAAACAATTTACAGATTCAATGTGTTACCAATCAAAATACCAAAGACCTGCTTCTCAGATATAGAAAAAATGATGTTGAAGTTCATATGGAAACACAGGAGAACTCGGATAACACTAACTCTCCATGCAGGACATCTGTCCTCAACGAGTTGTATTACGAGAGTGAACTATGATACTTGTTCTCAATTTGTGTGTGTGTGTGTGTGTGCAAACTGTCGAAATCTTTACTTAGTATAGAGTTGGTCTTCTGTGTACAAAGTTAATTGAAAATAAATCTTAATGGAGAATGGTACTGGAAAGGAGAGAGGGAAGAGGAGGAGGGGTGGGAGTATGAGTGAGAGGGCAGGTATGGTGGTAGGAATCACTATATTTCTAAAGTTGTACATATGAAATTTGTACTCCTTAAAAAATAAATTAATTTTAAAAAAAAGAAATGGAACCTCTTTTTCATTATGCTCCTAATTTGTCAAACCTGTGGTTCTTGGCTAGTTATCAGGCTGCGGGTGAACAACTAATGTGGGCAGGTGAGAAACATCTGCATGGGCTTTGCTGCAGCCTGTGGAGCAGTAGAGCATCTCCTAGCTCACTGCCAGGGAACACGCACAGGCCCATTCACCCAATAACACACCACCCTTTACTTGTTCATTACCCTTATACAAGAAAGGTCATGGCTTAAAATAACTGAATGATTCCAATTTAATTGGTCTCCATTACATTCAGTGGAGAAAATAATCACACTAAGAAGAAAATCTTAAGTTGTTAACTTCCCACTCTTATCTTTCAATGTTGAATTCCTCATTGTGAACTGTCATAATGTCAGCAGCCCCAGATGTATATGTTTCATTTTCCTTTCCTTCAGACTGACCCAAGATCCTTTTCCTCACCACAAGCATTAAATACGTAGGGATAAATGTAGGTCCAGGTCTACATCTGGGTCAGAATACACCATGGGGATAAGTATAGGTATAAGTGAAGGAGGGAGATATAGGAATATGTAAAGGAATAGGTAGACATAAAAGTACAGGTACAGGTAAAAGTATAGTTAAATATATAGGTACAAGTAAAGGTCTAGGTCTAGTTCTCCATCTAATTCAAGGTATAGACATAAGTGTAGAGATAGATAGTAATGATACACAGTACTACAAGTTAAAACTTAACACAGAGCTCCATCAACTAAAGATGTCAAAATAAAAACTCCCAAACACTCCACTAATTTCATCCAAATTCAGTCTTTGTAAAGGTTTAAAAGTGAAAGGGAAATATAACCTTCGTGCTGCAGAAGTTAGTCTTTTTCATCACGCTTCCCTAAGGATACCCAAGCAGGCATCTGCTGGGGTAGGGACCTTTCTCAACAAGGGACCATGAAATACACTAACCACTACAAATGGAGTCTGTTTCTTTCACTTTTTCTAATAATGATAATTTATATTAAGTAGCATTTGAAATTGTATGTACTCATATTATGAAGTTGATCATTAAGCCAGGTGCCTGGTTTTGTAGGTGAGAAAGGTAAGTCTATGGGAAGAGCAGAGTGAGCCACCTTTCCCGGGACTCTAAATGGATGCTGGTGACAGGTACATGACACTATTTTTTCATTAAGAAGTCTCCTCTTTTGGCTGTTTCTAATAAAGGCAGCTCCTTGTATCCACCTACAGATGTTTCCTGTATAAATATTCTCAGTATCTTCAGTAACTCATTTGCATCTTTGTTTAAAAAATTATTTCCCAACTTTTCATTTTGTCACACTAAACTACTCAAGTTGCTGGTGAAAAACCAGTACTTTCCTTTGTGTCTGCAAACTTTGATGCCCCTCACATGCCTTTGTGCCTGGACATAGAAACAACTCAAGCAACAACTGAGAAGTGACAATGAACAAAAAGAGCTGTGCAGAATTAGCAGCATTAGGCAGCATAGTTAACAAGTTGTGATCAATAACTTTGATGTAGATTAACATGGGGATAAATCAGTTTCCCATCTGTTTAAAGCACAGAGTGAGGAACTACAGAACAAAGGGAGCCCTAGCAGAGAAAGTCCTAAGTGATTTCTTATCTAGAAGAAATTTGCTTCATTTATGAAAAGCTCTGAAATCATCATGATTACCAAGCTATAACACCTGCACTGGTAAACCAATCAAATATGGATACAGGTATAGTGTAGGTGAGCAAAGGAAATTAAGAAAATCAAGGCTTTGGACTCCTGACAGTAAATGGTCAGTCTCTGCTCCATCCTCACTGTTCTGTGAAGTATGGTAGCAGAGGTGGTCAAGTCCCCAATCAACTCAAGATGATGAAAGACTAGTTTCTACAAAATTTCTGCAGCATGACGGTCACCACATTTCTCCTTCAGTTTTAAGCCATCAGGTGCTCTTCTCAGTCCCCAATCAACTTAAGCTGGAAGAGCGTCATCTATAAGTTGGAATTACAGAAATCAATTTTTCTGCAATGCCATAGCTAATTAATATTTCTAGAAAACATACTTCTAATTCATTCCATTTTCCACTTTCCTCTTCTGGTTGGCTAGAGTATCTGAGAACAATACTTTATAGTCCAAGGTGCATACTCCTTTTTTCTGGTGGCAAAATGTACATAATATAGCATTTGTCATTTTTAGTGTACAGGTATGTGAACATACTCATATTTTGTGCACTCTCCAGTGAGAAGTACACCTACCATGTTTTTGTGTTTAATGAGGGATGTACCACTGACCTTTCACTTCCCGTTGCTGATATTCTTTGTTTTTGAGAATGGGGTGTGAAATCCACATCCACGGGTGGTGCTTGCGGAGCTGAGGGAGCAGGTAGTGAGTTACAAATCCCACAATGCCTGCCAGGGCGAACAGCACAATGCTGAGAAACGGCTGTAATTAAAAACAAAGAAAAAACCAGCAATCTCATTATTCAGCATACAGAGCAGAGCAGAGGAAGGATGCCCATAAATGCCTCTTCAAGAGTAAACTGCCCAACTCAGTACTTGTTTTAGGCCTCTGAAAGTTCCTTCTGCATGATCGGAAACAGACTCCTGTGCTGTGAATCAGTAGGCTGGGGATGGGGAACCAGCACATGGAAGTACAAAGACCGACAAAATTGTGGTCACTGGAATATGTGTTCTAAGTTGTCTCATTTAGCTAATAGACTTTTCCTCACCCAAAGGAGAGTCCCTAAATGCCTAATATTTTTATATGGAGATGTCAACTGATTTTAAGAACCATTAGCCAAGAAATCTTATCTGTAGCCTTCCACTTCTGCTTCTTCTAACTAAGAAATATGTTCCAAAGATCCTTTAGGCTCTGTGACATCTGTCTCACCCCTCTAAATACCCTCATCTCTACTCATAGTGGTGTGCTGTTAGCCTGTCTCATCACTACGAATTGTCCTCCCAGTATCTTTTACACAAAACAACCTCACAGATGGTGGGAAGGGTAAACAACAAACAATCCAACCTAGTCTGTGATGTGGACCAAATCACATCTTGGAAACAACTCCTCACCATCACATGGATATAATCCTTAAACTACTCAATTGGCATTTTGTTTTCTCCCTCTTGCTCAGCTGTGTGATCCGTACCCTGGAGCTCCACAGCAACTGTTATTAAGGAGAATGAGGAGGTGGGAAGAGTACGACGCAGAAAGGATACATACTCGTAACGACAGGAATACAGTGCTGGCACTGACTGCAAAAGAGAGGACCGCAGCCACGGAGCAGATGATGAGATCTGATTTTAAGGTATCCTTCTGCAAAGAGAAGAGCAGCTGTAAAGTTCTGTTTCTCTCAGTAACTTTGCAGTAACAGGTGCACCAGATAATAAGACATTGACTCTGGATACACCCATCTTCTATCACTTGCCTTACAAATCCCTGAAGGCACACATTAAAGGGACAACTTGCTAGTTCCAGGTAGAGGAATTTCAGGGAGAACAGGATAGTAAAGGTTTTTTAAAGGTATAAGGGACAATAAAGTTCTTTTCCATTAACACAGATCAGATACAAGATGCCCAGAGAACCCCAGAGGGACCTTCCCTTACTAAAATCTGATAAGGGATGGCAAAGTGTTAATAACAATCTCCAACTTGGCTACTGCATGACTTGGATTTTAATATGCAACAGCTTGGGTACACTAAACAGAAGCTTCTTACATATTTCCTACTGCTTTGGATGAGATCACAGTTTACATTTTAATTCACCAGTTTTCAGGTCGAATAAAGGCCTCTTTAAAATTATTTAAATATATATGGATTATGTACACACATTATATGCAGATAAGGAAATGTTCAGTAACTTGCTAACAATTTTACATTACACAAAACTGGTGTCAGCAGGGGCAAAGGGGAAAAGAAAAAAAGCAAAGTTAGACACCCAGAATGCTACTAATACAGACATACAGATAATGTATTGGCTTTGACAGAGCACAATGCTCATTTAGCTTGTTAATAGATCTAAAAGGGACAAGGGAACATTGATTTTTTTCCTTTATATAGAAGCACATTATTTATAATGCACAGTTACTGATCATTTTAAGGTACCACACTGTTACTTGAAAATTCTGAAAATACCAATACATGTATATCTCCCTTTCTCACAGTGAAAAGGAATTATGCCTCTCAAGTAATTGTTTTTAACATTTTACGCCAGGAACTTTTATAGAAGATATACATTCATGTCTCTCCATCCACTCACATCCATTTTTTCCTCTTCTTGTTTTTAAAATTAAAATACAGAATTTTTTGCGAGTCATGCTGCAGGCTTGCTAAGTATTAACATCCACAGTAACAGGAAGAAATCAGGAAAACAGCTTAAACAGAGTAATAATGAACCCAACTGTCTGTTGTTGATGAAATAATCAACATGGCTTGAAGATATACATTATCCGTACCAATATATGAATTATAAGGTTTTTTTTTTTTTAATTTCATCAAGAGTTTTTAATTCACCTAAAAGGACTGAATCAGTAAGAATAAAAAGTGATGAGGTGGCCAGAGCCGCGGCTCAATAGGCTAATCCTCCACCTGCGGCGCCGGCACACAGGGTTCTAGTCCTGGTTGGGGCGCCGGATTCTGTCCCGGTTGCCCCTCTTCCAGGCCAGCTCTCTGCTGTGGCCCGGGAGTGCAGTGGAGGATGGCCCAAGTGCTTGGGCCCTGCACCCCATGGGAGACCAGGAGAAGCACCTGGCTCCTGCCTTGGGATCAGCGCGATGCGCCAGCCGTGGCGGCCATTGGAGGGTGAACCAACAGCAAAAGGAAGACCTTTCTCTCTGTCTCACACATTTACTTACAATATATGGTTATTAAATAAAATGGCTTTAATTTTGGTCTCAGATGTAGAAGTTTAAAATTTCTATGTACTTAAATCTATGTAAGTATGGGTGGGTGTGCACAGACAATGTGTATATGTTTTATTTACTTTATAGATTCCAAATCTGAAAAGTGATTATCTCTCTACAATTTGGATAACTTTTTTATTTCATTTCAAAATTTTTTGGAAAAATTACATGTTTTTATTTTATTTATTTTTTATTTTATTTTTTTTTTTGACAGGCAGAGTGGACAGTGAGAGAGAGAGAGAGAGACAGAGACAGAGAGAAAGGTCTTCCTTTTCCGTTGGTTTACCCCCCAACGGCCGCTGTGGCCGGCGCACTGCGCTGATCCAAAGCCAGGAGCCAGGTGCTTCTCCTGGTCTCCCAGGCACTTGGGCCATCCTCCACTGCACTCCCGGGCCATAGCAGAGAGCTGGACTGGAAGAGGGGCAACCGGGACAGAATCCAGGGCCCCAATCAGGACTAGAACCCGGGGTGCCGGTGCCACAAGGTGGAGGATTAGCCTATTGGGCCACGGCACCAGCCTGAAAAATTACATGTTTTTAAATATGAGACATGTACACACAATATTGCATGAAATAAGTATGTACAATCTGAAGAACAATTATCAACTGAAAGACTCTGTAGCCACCAACTAGCCCCAAATATTTCTAGCACCTAAAAGGCCACTGTGTATTACAAAAACCCATCTCTGGAGTGAGCACTGTAGCACAGAAATTAGCACCTGCATCCCATATTGGAGTGCCTATCTTCGAATCCCATCTTCACTTCCAATCCAACTTCCTGCCCGTCCCTGCTCTAGGAAGCAGCAGGTGATGGTTCAAACACTTGGATCACTGTCACCCATGTGGGAGACCCAGATAGAGTTCCAAGATCCTCACTTTGATCTGGCCCAGCTTGTCTCATTTGGGGACTGAATCAGTAGATGGAAGATCTCTCTCTCTCTCACTTGCTCTCACTCTGACACTCTGTCACTCTGCCTTTCAAATAACTAACTAAACTATTAAAAACACAAACACTTCTGTTTCCCTTGGAAGGTCCTATAAACTATTCTGACTGGTGAAAACCAATTACAAACTCTTTAGTTCAAGTTTTGCCTAGTTTTACCCTACAGATTGCATCATACTCTATGCATCTTTTGTGTCATACTTATTTTGCTTAACATTATATAGTTAAGTTTCACTCGTGCCATTGCACATAGCTATAATAATGTCTGTCTCTTTGTTATATACTACTTAACCTACTGTTGGTGAAATTGCCTATTGCTTTAGTTAGGAGCTCTTATTAGCAATGCTACTATGAACAACCTTATATGTGTATTCATTCAGTTGTGCAAGATGTGTTTCAAAATAAATATAGCAGAGGCCAGTGTTGTGGTGTAATGGGTGAATCCACTGTCTGTGACATAAACAATTCTATATGGGCACTGGTTCAAGACCCAGCTGCTCCACTTCCTGTCCAGCTCCCTGCAAATGTGACTGAGAAAACAGTGTAAGATGACCCAAGTGTTTGGGCCCTTGCACCCACGTGGGAGACTGGGAAGAAGCTCCTGGCTGTTGGCTTCAGCCTGGCCCAGCCCCAGGCCATTGCAACCATTTGAGGAGTGAACCAGTGGATGGGAAATCTGTCTCTGTCTCTTCCTTTCTCTGTAACTCTTTCAAATAAATATTTTTTTAAAAGATTTATTTTATTTATTTGAAAGTCAGAGCTATACAGAGAGAGGAGAGGCAGAGAAAGAGAGAGAGAGGTCATTCATCCGCTGGTTCACTCCCCAGATGGCCACAACAGCTGGAGCTGCACCGATCCAAAGCCAGGATCCTGTCAGAGAGACAGATGGGGAGAGAAAGAAAGAGAGAGAGAAATAGATTCCCCAAATGGACACAATGGCTAGGGCTAGGCCAACCTGAAGCCAGGAGCCAGGAGCTTCATCCAAGTTTCCCATGTGGATGCAGGGGCCCAAGCAGTTGGATCATCTTCTACTGTTTTCTCAGGTGCATAGCAGGGAGCGGGATAGGAAATACAGCAGCCAGGACTCAAACTGACACCCACATGGGATACCAGGATTGCAGGCAGGAGCTTAACCTACTGTGCCATGACACCGGCCTCAACTATCCACATTTTTAAAATTGTTTCTCATTTGTGCCTTTTTAAAAAAAGTTCTCTTTTCTATATAATATAAATAAATCAAAGGTCATAATTTTAATGACTTTGAATTTGTGTTTAAAAAATTCTCTTCTGATATTATAAAAATAGTTTTCTTTACTATGATTCTAAGTGCTTTTAGGTTTTGTTCCTCAAAGTAAGATTTTATAATTCATGTGGAGTTGACTTTTAAGTATAGTATGACTTAGAAGTCCAATTTGATTTTGTTACTTATACATAACATGTTTTTTTTTTTAATGTTTTTTTCCATCTACCTGAAAGGTAGAGCGAGAGAGAGCAAGTGAGAACAAGAGTGACAGAGAATGAGAGTGGGTCTTCCATTTGCTGGTTCACTCCCCAAATGCTCACGACAGCCTGGACTGGGCCAAGCCAAATTCAGGAGCTGGGAATTCTGTCCAGGTCTCTCACGTGGGTAGCAGGAGCTCAAGCCCTTGAGCCATCAACTGTTCCCTCCCAGGACATATGAGTAGGAAGTGGGGTCAGAAGCAGAGTAGTCTGGACTGGAACTGGCACACCAATATAGGATGTAGTTTGCAATAGCATCAGCTTAAACCATGCTACAATGCCCACTCCATCATCTGTTTTTTATCATTCCATTTTTTCTCTGTATGGGTTTAGAAGCTGTATGTTGTTTTCATTCTTTTAGAAGGTACACTAAACAATCCAACACACATAACTGAAATTAATCAACATCTTTATTCTCTTCCTGGATATTACTAAGAATTTTGAAGTCTTGGAGTCCATTTCTCCTGCCATATAAATTTGTATACTATGGTAGACATGTACATTGATTTCATCTTAAATTTGTTAAGCCAATCACAACACTCTTATTATGATTTTATGCAGTAAATATTTGTTTAGATTTACCAACATTCCTGCTACTTTTTTTCTTTGTTCATTCCTGTAAATCAGACCTTCTATCCAAGATTCACTTTCTGTGGAAAAATATCATTCAGAATTACATTTAGTGAATATCTCTCTGCTTTTGTCTAAAATATTCTCTATTTTGCCTTCATCCTTGAATATATTCACAACATATAGAATTTTAGCTTCGTAGTTATTTTTATTATCTTTATAAAATATCAAATATATCAAACAATGCCTCTAGTTTCCATGATTGTTATTAATAAAGGGCCTTTCAGTCTGCCATTCATTTGAATGTAATATATTCATTTTATTTAACTGTTTTAAGATGCTCTGTGTCATAGGTGTACTGCAATTTCACGATGATCAGTCTGGTATGCATTTTTTTTAAAGA